GTAGGATATTTAAGGGAATAAAAATTAATCTATGTTTTTTTTCCCCTCTTTCTCGGCTAGTTTTTCTCAACCTGGGGAACTTTTAAGATGTCTGGGTTTTATTACCCAGTTAGGAAAGCAGTTTTAAGATGCCTGGACTTCAACTCCCAGAATTCCTCAGTTAGAAAAGGAATATTAAGATGGCTGGACTTCAACTCCCAGAATTCCTCAGTTAGAAAAGGAATATTAAGATGGCTGGATTTCAACTCCCAGAATTCCTCAGTTAGAAAAGGAATAGTAAGATGGCTGGACTTCAACTCCCAGAATTCCTCAGTTAGAAAAGGAATATTAAGATGGCTGGACTTCAACTCCCAGAATTCCCTAGCCAATATCTTAGGATGTCTGAACTACAACTCCCACAATTCCCCAGCCAGCATCTTAGGATGTCTGAACTTCAGCTCCCAGAATCCCCCAGTTAAAAAAGCAATATTAAGATGTCTGGACTTCAACTCCCAGAATTCCCCAGCCAGCATCTTAGGATGCGTGGACTTCAACTCCCAGAACCCCGCAGTCCGTTCTGGGAGTTGAAATCCGCACATCTTAAGGTTGCCACACTGGCTGGGGAATTCTGGGAGTTGAAGTCCACGTGTCTTAAGGTTGCCATGCTGATGTCAGTTCAAACAGTCACTAAGCGGACTTTCGTTACGTCGAGGGACACCCGTTCCAAGAGGTTTTTTTTAACCAGGTCTGCAGGCTATTTCCCCCCACCTCACCCCTGTTAAAATAAAACCCGGTTACAGAGCTTGCTATAATCCCACCGCCCCGTAAACGGCCCTGGGATGCTTCCCGTTTCTAACCCACGTTATCGTCTTCTTGTTTCGTGCCAGATTTAGCTTCTTCTCCCGCGACAAGAGACGCCTGCAAGCCGCCCAGCGAAACACCTCCTTCCACGGCTCCTTCGGCGAGTGGGCCGACAGGAATAAAGACGACGTTTACACCGAACAAGGCTTAGAAGCTCTGCAGCACCTGTGACCCGAACCCAGAACTCTCCCTTCCGCCGGGGCGCCAAATGCAGAAACGTGGAAGCCCTCGCACGGGGAACGGTGCCCGTCCGCCTACCCACCCGCCTTCCAGGTCTTAGGCGGTTTTCAGCCCAGGGGGGTGGGGGTGGGGAGATGCGTTACACCAGAATTGGCGCACCAGATTCATCCTGCACGCGGGAAGCAAATTGGGGGGGATTCCTGCAACCTGGCACCGCAACCCGGCCATCATTTCGACTTCTGCTGACTTGTGGGTGAATGTCCCATCACCAATGCTTCCTTTTGTCCACTCCCCTGCTCTCCAATTATATTTTTTTAAATGGGATCTGGGCCATTCCTGAAGAAATGCCCTGTTAAGGACCGATGACCGTTGTTCCAGGCGCACGCACGCGCGCGCACACACACACACACACACACACACACACACACACACACACACACACACATATATATGTATGTATATCAGTGGTGGGATTCAGCCGGTTCGCACCGATCCGAGAGAACCGGTTGGTAACTTTCTAAGCAGTTGGGAGAACCAGTTGTTGGAAGAAATCTCCTTTTGTTTTTCCCCACTTTACAGGGCTCATCCTGTAAGGAAGGCAGGAAGGAAACATTCTGGTGTTTTTTTCTAGCCTCATCTTTGTTGCCCTGCTTACAGAAACTGCCTCTCCAGTTAACCCTTATTAAATTGTCAGAGCTAAGGCGAAGCGCCCATCAACGTGAGTGACGTTGAACTGGCCACGCCCACACGGTCACATGACCACCGAGCCCCACCTACCCAGATGGTCATTAGGGCAGA